AGAGATGTGTATAATGGATAGGTGTATCAGCTTAGTATGTCATTTTTTAAATGCATTTGTAGAAATTAAAATAATTTAATAGAAAGTTTTTATTAAATTATTTTAATTAATTTTAATCTATTAGTACGCGTATTAAGTGCTTGGTGTAAAATAGGTCACTGGAGGTGAACCGTACCTTGCTGCCGGTTTATTTCACAGCCAATCGAGTACTTGATCGTGAGCTTTCTCAGATTCGTGCTTTCTTCAGAGAGTTGAGAAACGTTCCATCGGGAACGAATAACTGTTACAAAGATAAAGAAGAGGAAAGCGGACGGGGTGATTTTTGTTCATGCCGACGACAGGTCGATGTTTCACCTTTTATTTCCTGTTGATGTTCGTCGGCGGGTGTCTGGCTAAAAACGCGCACATGTGAGTTCCGCATAGTAACGTAGTTTAGAATGTAAAAGTCATGAACGCTTTAGATAAGTGCATTTTCAACGAATCGCAAGAAAATTAGAATTAGAGAATGAGAATATTTAAAAAATTAGAAAATGGGTAATGTATGTATTATTATTAGCAGAATTTGATTTTTTGATTGTCCATTAGAATTAGTTTATTTATAAAATATTATATTAATTTAAATATTATATTAATTTAAATATTATATTAATTAAAATATTATATATATAGGAAATAAAGTTAACTAATTTGTTAATTATTTGTCTTTATAGTGTATTTTAATTTGTATTGCTTACGTTAGTATCGTTTTCCGATGCAATTATATTGATGTGCTTTCTCAGATATTTAAATTAAATATTTTCGATTTCTTTCCTCAAGTGTCGCTAGATGGGCGGACAAGTTGGGCACCGAGCTATGGGAACTCGCGAACGAAGTGGGCCGACCTGAGGAATTGCTAGAAGTACGCATATTTACTTAAGATAATAAATATCAAATTCTGAGAATTTAAGAAATTCCGCGATTTGTGTAATAAAATATATTCTTCGATTTTATCTAAGCAAGAAAAAAAGAGTCAAACTCCAATATTTTTTAATAGTTTTGCGATTATTTGCAAAAATAAATCTACATCATTGCACCTTAATGCATTGCAATTTTTAATGTTGAATTTATTACAGAATTTATTGAATAAAAAATATCTCATTCATATTAGTGATTTCTATATTAATATAAAATTCTTATATATATATATATAATTTCTGAATGCCTCTATAATTTATATATTTCTAACATTTTGCAGATAAAGCGTGATAAAAGATATTGGCGTTAGATAAATAGTGATGATTATTCCAGAAATACAAGAGCATGAATGCACGAGTTGAAAACAAGTCCGGAGAGGATTTGGTCAACATAATCAGCGAGAATATAGGTAGAATGTTGCGTCGGAAGATGGATGCAGTTACCTGTATTCGAATAGTGGCCGAGGAGGCTGCGGAGAATTGGGAATCATCTCTTGTGGACGGCAAATGCAACATCACCTACGTTTCCAGCAAATGCAGCAATATCACCGGACGTGATTCAGCAAACAGGAAGAAATTGGAAAAATATTGCGACGAGGACAATCCGGTACGACCACAGGACGTGTATAGGTAAGCAATTTGTTCTGCCTCATTGTTCTGCATCTTTCTTCTCTTCAATATGCCGCGAGAATTAGTTATGGAATTATTGGGATTAAAACGACAAGAATTTCAGCGAGTGAAAACCGAATCATGTAAAGTAGAATATTTTCAATAATAAAGAAACTTATTGTCATAGACTAATTAAACCTAACAAAGGTAATTCTATTTTGCTTTCCAGTTCTATAGAATTTTTTTTTATTTTCCTTTTAGAATGCAATTGATTTAAATCTTGATTGAACTTGAACTAATTCTCTGTATAAAATTAGAAAATGAGATATTCTATATATATGATTATTACATTTCTTGCAATTTTTTTTTAAAGTGAAAACGTTATTTATTATTAATTATTATTATTTATGATTAATTTTTGATGATATTACTTAAATTATCTATATTAAATTATAAAATTCTGTACTGTGTGATTTATGAATTTAATTTTGAGTTTTATTTCTGATCAAATAACTAATATTTTACATCTCGAGGAATAACTTACACTTGTACAGAATTAATTTGAAGAAAGTTATATATTAAGGGGTTAGGCCACATTTGAGGCCTTAAAAGATACTTAAGTTTGGGATTTTTTTGTGAGTAAATAGATAACTTTATTAAAAATCTATTTAGAGGACATTATTGTATATATATAAGAAAGCAAAAATATTAAAAAAATTTTTTTAGTGTTTAAAATGGCGACGCACTGGCCTATTTGTGGAATCCTTTTTTTCTGTATCTTTAAATCGGTGTACAAAATTCCAGGCACATGGTTTGACTTTGAACAATTAAATACAAAGAATTTTCATTATCTACATATTAAAGACTAATGAAGTACGTAGGGGTTGTTTAAAATATTGATTTTTCTCAAAATGGCAGCTATTTTACGAAAAATGTATATTTTTTGCCAGTACAAGTCTTTCTTAAAATAACTGCCATTTTGAGAAAAATCAAAATATTTTGAAAAAC